CGAATGATAGGGATGCATGCATGCTCAAGTCGCCTTGTCGGGAAATCCATCGCGATGCCCCGATTTGCCTCTGTTTGCAACTGGTCCCAGAACACTGTACAAAGCTCCAGAAGCCTGCTGACCAGTTTTTGCTGCTGGTTTCCGGTTTGCTGCAGCAGAGAGTGAGAAAGGGGCATGGCAAAGTATTTTCAACATATGTGTGCATGACCACCCTCCCCATCATTGCACAAGCTCCAGGGAGTGTAGTCCTCGATCCTCATGCCACCAATCACGCATCTCGATGCATAATGGCCGAGGAGTCGGATTGCACGACTCGATGTAAAATGAATGCACATATAAACACAACAAGGCCTAAACTCTATCATGGGTAATCCGGAGTGCCGGCGACCGAGAATCGAGGCACGTTTCGTCACTTAGAGTATGAAACGTCTCTCGTTTCCCGTGTTTGGACTAAACCCTATTCCAAACACAATGCAATATACATGGCATACACAATACGATTAGCATGCAACCCTAAACCCGATGCAACCTAATCATGCTAGCATGCGAGGGATAATATGCAAACATGCAACTAGCATACACAATGCTATGAACTAAGAATGGCATACTCAATGCACATGAACTATATGGCATACGCAATGCACATACGAAGATGGACATGCACAAAGACATGAACAAGGCATACACAATGCGACGATCAAGCATGCGACAACATGGATATGGCATACATAATGCAAGATGGACTTAAACTAAAATGAATGGGCCTCAGCCACACTCAAATCAGTGGCCATACATGATGAAAATGAAGCAACAACGCACATGCAAACATGCACAAATGCAAGGGACCAAACCTAAGGCACAAAGTGCAACTCCACCAAAGCATGGTAAGCATGAAATATGGCATACAATCACTTATTTTCCAGCTCTGAAATGACATGCAAGATGGTCCCGAATCATGCAAACGCCTCACACAATGCATGCTAGATGGCCCAAATCCCGAAACTAGTGAAGTGGATTACACTATAGGCATGCAAAGCAATACTCCAATGGCCAAACCTGCCCCAAACAGTCCCTATACAGGCCAAAATAGTAGCAAATATGGACTAAAATGATGGCTCGCAAAGCATGAAAATGAAGCTCATGCAATGGTCCAAAAATGAGGTATTCATGCATAACTCTCAAACACATTTAAAGAGTGAAAAACATGAGAATATGGCATACATATAAGCTTTGAAATATGATTCACAATGATGCCAAAACATGGAAACACCTTAAAATACGCATGCAATAGGCTTCAAAACTCAAAGCTAGGAAAGGGTATTGAATTACAACCGTGGATAGCAAACATCATTCGACCATGAGGCCCAAAAACAGGGCTAAGGCAGTCCAAAACATGCACAAAATCAGTTTAAGGCATGGCCAAAAAGTGCTAGAATCAAAGGCCAAAATAGCATGCAATGTAAGCTAGTAAAGAGGATTTGCACTACAAGCATGTGAGGCAATCAAGAGGCCACTAAACTAGCAAAAGTCAGAGGTATGACATGCCAAATAAAGCCCAAAAACCCACTGAAACATGGTTAATGCATGCAAGAATGAGATGCTCCTTTGATATGCTATGAAGAGGGTTATTCTACACATGCAAGATGGACATCTAATATGGCAAAACAAGCTCTGGACAGAGCCTATGCAGGTCCTAAAACTCATCAAAAATGGCCTGAAACATGGCTTGGAAGCATGCAAATAAGGGCTCCTTTGTAAGGCCAAAAATGCTAGAAAACAAAACAAGGAGAGAGAAGGTCACCCTTCTCTGATTTTGGCACTCAAAACAGCATGCTAGCCACTGAAAATCTACTGGATTTCGGTGGCTAAAAGGCCAACACAAATGCTCTAAGGCATGGCTCAAAACAAGGTAAAATGAAGCATGCAAGGGGATAGATGACCCCCAACAACAAAGTGACCTTAAACAAACATGAAAAGGACCTCAAAACAAGAATTTTTTTCAGTTTACACCAAAGCTCAAATATGCTTGCAAGTATGGCTAAAAGATGAAGCAAAATAAAGCTTAAAAGAGGGAATAGTGTGTTACCCTTGTAGCTTCAGCAAAACCAGCAGCTTCTTGGACCAAAAACCAGCTCTTTGAGACCTCTCAAGACCCTTCAAGAACCTTAGATCAACGGTGGAGGTGTGTGGCTATGAGGTGTGGTGTTTAAAGCCAAGAACAAACACCGTTTCTAAGCCTAGAATGTAGAGATATAGAGAGATCTATGTGCTTTTCCTTAGACAAATTTTTTTCAACCTCTCTAAAGGAGAGGGAGGCCCTCTCTTATAGAGAAACAAGAGGGTTCAAGCTTCTTGGAGAAGCTAGAGCAAAAGGTTCAAAAAGTTCAAGCTTCTTGGAGAAGCTAGAGCAAAAGGTTCAAAAGGTTCAAGCTTCCTCAAGAAGCTAAAATAAGGGTTCAAAAGGTTCAAGCTTCCTCAAGAAGCTAAAACGAAGGGTTCAAAAGGTTCAAGCTTCCTCAAGAAGCTAAAACGAAGGTTCAAAATGTTCAAGCTCTCCAAAAACCGTGCCAAACGGAGAAAGTTAAGCAGTCCCGAACCGAAGCGCACGGCCGACGGCTCCGAAAATCGGAAACTGGTCTCCAAACGAGAACAGTGGTCTACGACCACGAAAAGTAGCCTACGGCCACTGAGAGATGGTCTACGAGGGCTCTCCCTCCCTTCGGGAAGAGAAAACAGAACCTGGTTCGCAAACCGAGGCAAAGCACAAAAGAGTCCCGAGGTCTGGTGGTAAGGCTCTTAGCCGAAACTCCGAAACCTCAGAACGAGCACAACATGCACCATCACCGAGCGCTCAATCGATGACGTCTGAATCTTAAGGTTGGTCAAAAATGGGGTGTCTACAATATCATAATATAATATATATATATATATAGAGAGAGAGAGAGAGAGAATATATTGTGTTGATTTGGTTACTTAACTATTTTAGTTGGCTTTTTTGACTATTTTAACCTAGTTTAAAAAGTTGTGTTTGGAACTATAGTTGGTATTTTTTTTATTTTTTTATTTTTGATAGTTGATTTGATGGTTGTGAGAGAAAAAGTGAAATGATTATGGTTTGGATATGACATTTTATCTTATTAGCTATTTTCGCCTATTTTGTCTTTATTGGCTATTTTATCCACACAAGATGAACAACATAGGCGATATCCGATCGGGTAACATTGAAATAGACTAGATTGCCAACTAATTGTTAATAAAGCATGGCATCAGAGAGAGAAATGTTGTCTAGAGGAGTGAGATGAACATTTGTCTTAACAGATGTGGAGCCAGTCTTGCTATCAGTGTGACCAACATGGGTGAGTAAATCAAAGGCATACTTTGCTTGAGAGAGATAATAGCCACTAGAGTCGGAAGAGATTTCAAGACCCAAAAAATAGTTGAAAGGCCCTAGATCCTTTATCTCAAAATAACTACCGAGGGAGTGCTTCAACTTAACTATACAATTAACATCATCACCAATAATGATCATGACATTAACATAAAGAAGAAGATGAGTGGTGCCATGATTAGTCTTGTGAATGAAAAGAACATAATCATATGGACTAGAAGCAAAGCCAAACTATGCAATAGTGGTACTAAACTTGGAAAACCAAGCTCAAGGAGCTTGACCATAGAGAACACGTCGAAGTTTACTGACCTTTTGAAAAGGATGATCATAGCTAGAAGGAGATTGCATATATATAAATTTCTTCAATGAGATCCCCATTGACAAAGGAATTTTTTATATTCATTTTATACATGCCCCACTTGTGGACAACATCAATGAAAATGAGACTACGAACGGAAGTGAGGCGAGGATTAAGATCAAATTTCTCCTCATAGTCAATGCCATACTCTTGAGTGCAGCCTCGAACAACTGAGGGTTCTTTGTAGCGTTCAATAGTGTTATCAGAACAAGTTTTGATCTTGTAGACCCATTTACATATAATACCAGTCTTGCTGGAAGGAAGGTCCACGAAATCCCAGGTATGATTTTTGGCCAAAGCTTGCAATTCATTAGTCATTGTGTGCTGCCAAAGAGGATTAAAACTGACATTACAGTAAGAGCGAGGTTCATGCTAAGAAAGAATAGTATAATAACAATGATAATTATGCAGATGGAGAGGAAGTTATTTTACCTGAGCAGCATGACGAAGAGCTGAGTCAGGATTAGAAGATGATTCAATGGAAACAAAGGATAAAAGAGGCTGTGAAAGATAATGGAGGCAAGACTAGCAGGTGGAGCAAGATCCTTAGGAGGTTGAAGTGGGAAGGCACCATGGGGTTGACTGTAGGCAAGAGCATCTTTGTAAAGGCTGGAGAATCATTTGTATCAATCTCACCAGAAAATGAATCTAAGGAAGGATTAGTGAAGAGTATAGAAGTAGTGGGATGAGATAAGTGAAATTTAGATAGAGATGAAAACATTTTGTGTTCCCAAAAGACGACATGGCGAGAAATGTGAAGACATTTAGAAATAGGGTCCCTATATCGATATCATTTGTGTTCAATGCCATTTCATAAAAAACAACATAGACAAGAATGAAGCTCTATTTTTGTATGTCCATGAGGTTGCAACAACACAAAACATGCAAAACCAAAAGACTCGGATAGTGGTGTAATCAGGACAAAAAAAACATGGTTGATTCTAAAAACAACAGTGAGGGTAGCTTCACCCCAAAACTTTTTCTAATAAGAAAAGACTGTTCAATTTTTTTAAGACTATATAATCTATTCATGAGACTACAATTTTCTAATTAATATGATTTTCTACATTATTGATATGTTTGGAGGACCTTATAAGGTAAACAGTTTGGATTATTGAGATAGGTCTGTGATTAGTTGGGAAACTCAACTAGAGAGAATCCTAACCCCTTTTGTTTTCTTTCTTTTTATTTTATGTTATGTTATGTTATTTTTTGTTTATGATTTTTATTTATGTTATTTTGGAGTTGTTTTAGTATGCAATGGTTGTTGTTCAAGGAGACAAGTATTATGGAACAAAGGCAACCATGAACGTTTGGAAACCCATAGTCCAGCAATCCAATGAATTTAGCTTGTCCCAGCTCTGGATCGTGGCAGGTTCTTATCCTTCGAATCTCAACACTATTGAAGCTGGTTGGCAGGTACACTTTAACATTAATTTGATTATATTGTAGATTTTCTTGTTATTCTTCCCTTTTGTTTCTATAATGAAAAATACTACATATAATCTAATTTATTACTGCATTTCCCCATTTGATCAGCATCCTTATTTTTAGCAAAATCTCATTTTGGTCTATTCACTTTTACTAAAATTCTACTTTTTATTTAGAGAAATTGTGCCAGTAATCTCTATATTTTAGTCTTTTTGTCATTTTGGTCTTTATAATTTCAATTAGTTTGATTTTGACCATAAAGTTATGATTTTGCAAAAAAATTTTGTCTAATTAATTACAATTGTTAGTATTTTTTTTTATGAAAAATGTGTACATAAGTGGCATGTATCATGTTTTATAGGTAAAATTATAAACTTATTTAATTTTGTGAGTTAATCTTAACAAACTAACTGATTATTTTCTTTCGAAAAACGTAATTGACATTATCAATTATTCCAAATCGACACAATTTAAAATTAAGGGTCAAAATTGAGCTAATTGAAATGATAATATCCTAAATGACACGAGATAAAATGTAGGGATTATCGATGTAATTTTTCATTTATTTATGCCCTTAAATAAATGTCAAGTGTGACGCACATGCCAATTTTCATTTGATGTCATTTATATCAAATAGACAGAATGGTTTTTTATTATTTGACTGAAAGTATAAGGAATTAACTATTATAAATAATGATAAGAATGCTAGATTGACATGTTGATGAAAGTATAGAGGTGCAAAATATAATTCACCATTTATCATCTTTTCCACGAGTGATAATCCCTATACACACACACAAAACCATGAACAAAAAAAAAAAAAAAAAATTAACATCACACTAAATTTAAAATATTAGTCATACACTTTACTTTTCTTTCCCATTTTTTGTGTTAGTATCTTTTCCCTTTGTGTTTCACTTCATTTCATTTATGTCTCCTCTCTATGAGGAAAAAAAAAAAAAAAAACAGGTTTACCCATATTTGTATGGAGATGCCAACCCCAGACTTTTCAACTACTGGACTGTGAGTCATTAATTATTTTAATTTTTTTCCAGTAATGTTTATTTTGAGTTTCTTTTTTCTCTAGAATAGTGTTAATATATATATATACAGGTGTTTAATGGTGAAATTGGTTAATGTTAAATGACAGAGAGATGCATATAACACCACAGGATGCTACAACTTGTTCTGCTCAGGCTTTATTCAAACTAGCAATAAAATGGCATTGGGGGGCACCATCTCCTCTATTTCTGCTTATGGTTCTTCCCAATATGAATACAACTTTCTAGTTTGGAAGGTAACATTTCATACATTAAGAACAATGGACTTTTACATTACCCACTTCTTTTAATTGTTTAAATATTTAAAGTACTCTTATATAAAATAAAGTAAAAGCAAATATTCTAATGTTGCTCCCTTATAATGGTAGTTAAATTTCAAAATACTAGATTATAGAAACATTTGGAGAATCTTTGACATCACTTATGCTCATACCTTCATGATTTTCTTTTTTCCTTTATTTATTTATTTTTTATTTTTACTTCTAGGAGGGGAGGTTTAAACTGGTATTACATGAAAATTAAATAAACATGTTTACTTGTGTTCTATGAAGCACGAGTACAAATACGAGTATTGATACTGGTACAATACGTGTCATGTCCCTAATTTATTGGCCGGTCATCTCTTCAACCTAGGTTAGAGAAATGACCAGCCAGTAATCTTAGATTACTAAAGGTCTATCCTGACAAATCACAAAATATTTAATAATATAATGAGGCCTTAAACGGAAGTATTCTAACAAAAGTAATGCAGACCATTGAGTAGTGCGTAAAAGACATGGAAGCAACATACATATATCATTAGTTAACTTACATAATTACATTAAGTATAAAGGTACAACATTTATAAACTTAAATACAAAGTCATGATCTCCCAAAACTTTTTCAGAATGAGGTAAAAAAAAAAAAAAAACCATCGACTACGACTTTGGAATGTTAATAGCCAATTTAAATTCACGGATATCAGCGAATTATTCTTTTTTATTTAATTAACATAAGTTTTTTTCACTCCCTTTTGTTATCAAAAAAATTCATAACCTTATAAAAACATTAAGATAAAATGGATGAATACTAATAATACAATTGTGGGATATAAACAAGTAATTTTCAAGATTGCT